AGACCAAATTTTAACCTTTATTAATCTGGAAGTCAGATAACTTAAACTGTTATAATCCTGATCTCATGAAATACAATTTATAAAAGTACTTTTGTGAGTCTTTCTGAGTTATAGGTTTCTTTTTGTGCCAGGGAAAATGACACACACACAGACTGGATGAGATCAAGTTATCTCCCATATATGAGTGCTCCAGACTCACCCTTCTTCTGTAGCAACACCAAAGCATGACAGCATTTTATATATTAATTAGCAATACGAGCTTGAGTTGTTGACTGTACAAAATACAGCATGATCTAAATTCCACAAGGTCAGGCAAGAATCAAGAGATTCAGGATACCCAAGTCCCCCCCCAAGAGATTCACAACACCCTGCAACTCATGGCCACAGCAGAAATGTAGTAGCTGGAAGTAATGCAGCAATTTTTATTTTAAGACCTGCAACCAGCCAGTGTTGGACCACCATGGGAAGCCTGCAATAATACATAATATAATGAATAATCAAGCAAAGAAACATTTTGGCCATAATTTAGTTCTGTTCTACTCAGGGTATTATGCCATGATCATCCTAGAATGAGGAGCAATGACGACAAGAAGACTATTTTTAACACAAGTCTACGTGATGTAGTAGTAAAAATTTCAGTTAATAATTTGGGATGCACCACTACTAATTGAGCCTCCACTATTGACATTTGGATAAGAAGTTCTGCAAAGGTAGAAGTTCTCTCATAAAAGTTAAGAATACAGACATCTAGGTGTCATTTGTCCTACAGATGGACTACTACATTTGAGATAAAATGAAATTAAATAAATAAAAGAAATAAAATGAAAAAAATAAAATAAAATAAGCATGTACACACAAGACCTTTATGGTGCAAAACCCAAGTTCTTCAATGGCTCTAAACTGAGAACAATCTCAACAACGATGCTGAGCTCTAGGATGTACAGGAAAGACAAAGAGTCGAAGGAAAAAATGTTTTGGCAAAGTAAAAATGTAGAATGAGACAAAGAGAATGCAAGAGGAGATTTACTTGCAAATTCAAGGGGACTATCAAGATAAGGTCTTGTGGATTAACAGCCTCAGCCTTCATTAGGGAATACTGCATACATATAAATGTATATATAGCTTCCATAGCAACATAAATCTATTATTAGACATTTCTGCTGCACGTAACACCCTAAAGAGCAAATCCCAAATAGCCTGGTTACAAGACAATTAAACAGCGAACCCACGCTGCATTAAGGGAAATGAACATCAAGATACATAGCCCCCCTCAATGCTTGGATGCGTGGGGGGAGCGGGCTGCAGTGCAGTGACGTAAGGATCAATGAAAACAGAATTTGGCCTCAATTAGTAAAATCTCTATCATTATGATAAAGTAGCAAGGAGAGACATGCAGGTTACTGGAACATCTGGAACTTACTCCAAGCAGTAACTAAAGACTACTTAAATGTGCTGCGCGGTAAGAAGGCAGCGACTGTATAGATAAAACAAGTAAGGCAGTGCTTTTCCTTTTCAGTCCCATTTTTAGTTATTCAATCTGTTCCCAAAGAGACCCTTCTGAAAATGCTTTTTCTCCACTTTGACGTGAAACTCAGGAGCTTATCTCTTGCATTAACATCCATTTGACTGCACCAGAGTTACCTGAGCAGGGACTAGAGAGGGAATAGGAAAAGAGAGACCCTTTATGCCATGACAAAATGAGCCCAGTGCTCTTTCTGTTCATGGAGAACACAAGCAACAAGAAACAGGTGTTTCATTTAATGCTGTTAAAAGCAAGACTTGAGTTCTATAAGGCCAGTACTGAATTTCTTAGTCAGACACAAGCAAACTTGTTGGAAATAACCACAGCCAAGTTATCTGAAGGGAGAAATCTTGAAATCTGCAAAGAAATTAATCATCTGGGTAATTTCTCTGACTGAGCAGACAAGAAACCTCCACCAAGATTCTGGAGTCACGTCAAGTCATTCATGCATGTTCCTTTCTGTAATTCATGCCTACTACATCTTCTTGTATCTATCAGGAACATGAAGATGAGAATATTACCTTTGCCACTCTATTTTAGAAGAAATCCATGCCTGCTGGTGGTTCCCACGCTTTTCTTCTCTAAGCAATGTAAAGCCATAAGTTAACCTTTATTAAATTACGAAAAACTGGGATTCTTTATCTGAATCATGTTCCTAAATGAGTGGCAATGAATGCTTTCATGTGGAAAGACTATGATTTGCAGCGTTGCAAGGAATTACATATCCAATGGGATGGTTCATCAAGGCAAAAGTACTGGGAATGGGTTTACATACACCAGACTCCGGTTTTGCTGCAACAATCATATAATCACAGAATTATTCCAGTTGGAAAGGACCTCAAGATGTTTCTTTTCCAACCTCCTACTCTAAGCAGGTTCAACACCAAACTCAAGCTAAGTTTGCTCATGGTTTTGCCCAATTAGTTGTTGAAAACCTCCAGGGATGGAGATTCCACAGTGAAGAGTTCATGGTGTCATCATTGGGACTCGAACTGACCAAACAAGCGACATCTGACACAGTATGAATATAAATATAAATTCTGACCCACTAAGTTTTGTGGAAAGCCTTCTGTAGAAAAGTTGAAGGAAAGAGAACCACTGCTGAAGGAAAGACCTACCTCATTCTTTCTCCTTCTTCACATCAGGAAGTAAAGCCTTGGCATGAAAATGTGGCAGAGTTGAACATATTCTGGATATTCAGTCCAAGATTTCATTTAATTTCACAATCTGATTTCCTACAGCAACTCTCCTTGCTCTCCATCTTTGGTAAACAATAATATTACCTGTTGTAAATCTTTCAGTGCTGCAAGTGCAGAAGTTCTTAAGCAGATTTTACGCTACCTTAGCACACTAAGACAGAAAAAAATTCCTTAGCAGACCTCACTGAAAAACAGGAGATTTTTTTTTTTTATTAAAACAACACCATTCCTTTTTGCCATTTTTTGTTAACTGGGTGGAAAAAACGATTTTTATGAAAGAAGCCATATTAAAGGTCATTCTGTTAAGACAACTGCTGAATTATAAATGAAGAATTTTCATCCGAGTCCCAAAAGTTTCAAACATCAAGAAATGGCACACAGAGGCACCACAAGCCACTCACCCGCATATGGAACAGAGAGGAGACTGGTTATGGAGATGGGCAATGGCTACACAAAACAAGGCAGAAATAGAAGAGAAGCAAAAGTCCCCATGGAAGGTAAGAGAAGCTGTAGTATGGAAGTGCTTCCTCTCCATTTCAGGAAGAGACTAAAATTGGGTTTTCCCAGCTTTTCCAATCTGTATGATTTCTACACATACAGAAATGTACTGAAGAGAAGGGAGAAAGCCAACATCGGCATCTGAAGAAAATATTTAGACAAACGGTAAAAACTGAGTTGCAAGAATGCTTTACAGTCAATGCTTTCAAAACTTTTAAATTTGTTTCAGAGCTTTGACCAAAAGTATCTCTTAGACTTAGCTCTTCACATTCCTCCTCAGTTTAGAAAGTCTCTAAACTCCTTTGGATATTTTTTCCACAATTGCAGACACAAACACAGGACCTCTTGGTTCCGATCTCCTGACCAAGACAAGGAAAATCTGTAGCTTGAATTACCTCACAGGTTCTGTGAGCACTTATATTACTTTGTATGTGCCTTTCATTTTGCAGTATAAGAAAACCTCCAAAAAAAGACCAGATGATGAGCTGGTACAAGGCAGACAAGTCTTCTGAATTGAGAAGAACTTGGCTGACACCAGCAATGTCAACAAACCCTAATGCTGACCCAAAACCATTTACTTTATAAACAATCCACTTGCTTTGCCAGGAACAAACACAGTTTTCAGATGCATGCACTGAGCTGCAAAGAGATTAAGCATGTTTTCATGCTTTTTCTGTCATGAAAGTCACCATCATGAAGGATTTCAGTATTTTCATTCCCTTCTTTCTGTACTACCTCTGCTGATTCATTTCTTGAACACATCATCAGCCACAAGAAATAAAAAAAAAAGAATGAAGTATATCAGGTCAACTTACTTTCAAGTAAGTTAATCAACACTTATGGAACTAGTTAGCTACGGCAATTATATCAATCATATGAAAAAATATATCCTGGATCTAGCAATGATAAAACCCAGCGGTTCATCATCTGTGCTTTAGCCCCACCTCAGCTTTCCACAGAAATCCATTCCTGAGTATGATTTCGCATGACAAAGCACTATGTTATTCATCGACTTTTTCCTGGATTCTCAGATTCTGACCAAGCCTAGGGCATTTTCCAGAAAATTGTTAACTCTTAATCTGTCCCTTTGGAGAGAAGTCCTTTCAAACAACTGCAATGGCACAGCTGTGGATAACCTCACAAGACAGACCCATGTCTTACTTCCCCAAATCGCCTTTGTTTGATTATTTTTGGGTGGTGATGGATGCTACCCTTGCTAAGTCAAAACAGTAAAATAAAGTCAAAATAGTAAAATCTTCATTAAAACATTCCAATTCCAAGACTTTGTTGTTAGGAAACAAAACTAAAATTATACCATTGCAATGATTTACACAGAACACGGGATCTACAAGGATGACAAAGACTGCAAAGCACCAAGACATATGAAAGGAATTCCTTCAGCAAACATGCACCACAATAACTGGATTAAAAAGGATTTGCCATTGCGAGCCCATGGGCTCACGTTCTGATGACAAAAAGTTGAGCTCCAGTTGTCTGCTGAGCATGTTTGTGTTCCTGTGAGCCGGTCTGCACTGGGAAGACTGGGAAGGAGGAAAGATAACCATCCCACACTTGAATGGCTTGTTTTCTTCTCAACAATGTTCACTTCCTACTCCTAAACAACTGGCACCACTATCCCAGTGATTTCCTAGTTGATCTTTCCCCACTTTGCAGGTTAACAGGCAGTTTGTGTCATCCTCGATTAGCAAATGCATTCTGTCCCATTCCCATCTCCCAGCATCCCAATTTCCAGGGCAAAAAGTAACGTCCGGGTCACTCACCCCTAACATCTGATGCAAATAATAATACTGCAGCCCTCGGTAATAGAGCAGGAAGGTTTTCCAGAAGAGCCACGCATTGAGGGAGAGCCAGAAAAACTAAAATGAAACAGAAACATCAGAACTTGTAAGCGAAAGTTATATGTACAAACTTTTCAGCGTTTACTTCATTCATAAAACTCAGTAGTTTCATAAACATACGGTTTCAAAAACATACGGGGGGGGGGAAGCTTCAAGCGCTTAGCATAAAATACTTAAAAATATTGAAAGGAATAGAAGATTAAAAATATTGAAAGGAATAGAAGATTAAAAATATTGAAAGGAATAGAAGAATGCGAGAAATTTTCGCTTTCACTGAACTTCACCAAACTTTATGACTTAAAATCTGCCCCGCGCTGGCAAAACCCCGAGTACAAAACGCGACTCCAAACCTTCAGACATCGCAGCTACAGCCCCAAAAAATAAAAACGAGCGAGCAAGACAAAGGCGGGACGAATCTGACCCCCCAGAAGATGCATCTTCCCCCCAAACTTCCCCAAAAAGGACCTAACAAAGAGAAACACTGCCCCCCTCACCAACGTGTGCCGAGCCCCATCAGGACACCCCTCAGCCTTGTCCCCGGGGCAGGGGCACACGCGTGGACCCACAAAGCTCAGCCCCCCCGCTTCAAGCGCCCACACCGGATCCACAAACTCCCCAGCGCCCCTCGGCGCACTCCCCCAGCCGAGGGTACCCCTATCCGGGGTG